CCCCCCCCCCCCTTCCCTCCGTCCCAACTCCCTTACCATTTACAGAAAGTAAAATAGTGTTACATTACAGGTCTAGCAGGGACGGTACAACATCACCAGGCAGATTCTCGAACCTGCAACCCTCGTAGCAGAATCAAGCCCGCACCGCTCGCTGCAACGACGAAATAAAAAGAGGGCGAAAGCAATCAACGTTTCGATGGTATTTACAAAACGGCATCATCGAAAGGACACCCGACACGGCCAAACACTGGTAGTCTAGAGAGAAAACAATTAAATAAACACGACGTTTTCACACTTTTTTTGACGGCCAAAACAAAAAACAAACAGAAACCCCCAAAAGACAGTAATATTTCTCGAGACGGACCGACGGGTGTTTCTTGAACAAATGCAAAACTGCTTTTATTAACGCCCTCAAAGTTGGAAAACAATTTCATCGCACTACAGTACCCTCATGCAGCGAGGCTTTCATGACGTTCACCACTGAATTCCCCTTCAGCCAACCCAGCGGGACATATTAAACAGGACTATCTGGTATCAGACACAATAAAACAAGTTACGGAGTCGCCTGAGAGAGAGAGAGAGAGAGAGAGAGAGAAAGAGAGAGAGAGTAAGTCAGACTGCAAAGATCCGAAGGCATCATTCTTTCATAGACTCTGTCCCACTGCTGTCCCACAGTCCAAAGCCTATGGCGCCTCGCATGCATGAGTGTTTCGAGACTGGTGGTGTCCTCGACGTCGTCACACTAAAGAGCAAACAGTACACGTGACAAATTAAACACGACATGCAATAACAAGCACATCACCAAATGACCTGAGTATTTATCTCTCAGCCAAAAAAGGCCAACCGTTGGTCCGAGGCCTACCGGCCAAACTTCGCAATCATCCGTGTGTAGAAATCTCTTTTGTTATCCTGATCAGGTGCGCGCGCAGTTGAAAGGACCGGTTGTTCGACCCAACCTGCAGTGGCATCATCCCACCCAATCAGATACCGTCTCGAGGTAGCCCAACCTACTCATTCATGCCACCTCCTCCGTGGCCAGCCACCGCTCCCTCGCCCCCTCCCTCAACGAGTAAACCCGCTTGCACTCTTGCACGGTGTCCTCCACGAGCTCCTCCAAGATGCCCTCGGCCACCCTGCACTTTACGTAGTACAGGTCGTCCTCGTGGAAGAGCCAGTCCTCCGGACGGCTGTCCAACGGCAGCGTCTCGATCAGGTCCGGATTTGGCTCCCGCCCGGGCAAGCAGGCCCCGTCTTGCCCCAGCACAGCCGAGGTTACCTCTAGGACCGCGTCATCCATCGACCTGATATATATGGCACGGGGAGAAGGGGGCGTACTCATCTTTCGCATGCCAAGCTGTTGGACCATTGAACACGCGTCCTCGAGAGGCTCGAGAGGACGGAGCATTTAGGGGTACTGAAGGCACCACCACGTGAGAACGCTTACATCGAATTACATCGAATTGTGTCCATCGGGCAGAACTGCATCCGTTCTGCAAGAAACTTAGGATTATTCGATTGAGCACTTATTCTTGTGGCCACCTTCTTGGCTATCCCGCCCATGTTAAGTCCAACTTTCTTCCAACTCCCAGGTTCTTCAGTGATGACGCATTTTGTATTCGATTCGGCGCTGGCGAGTTGCGGTCGTTCATCGCTGGGAACACACGGCCCTCCAGACGACGCACCGGTCGTTGCCTACTACTCAAACAGACGTCTCGAACATGTCGGGCGTCAAAGGGAAGTGCTTCATGTACACGTGAAGGTTTTATGTACGACCAAAATGTTGTCATGCTTGTCTTATAGGTCTCGTAGGAGAGGGGAGGGCGTTGGGAATATTCTTGCAATAGCGCAGAGAACACGAATGTTCGAGATGGCGTAGCGGGTAAAACGTGCGAGCAACGGTGCACAAAATGAACACGACAGGGCTGTTGGCGTACGGTAGGTATTTCAGCAAGAACGCAACATCGGCATTTGAGCGGTGCTTAAGACGAGCACGTCAACAGGACCATGGGACACCACCGCCAACAGCAGCAACATCGACAACCATCGAGTTCGACTGACGGAGCAAGGAATACCAATATCAAGCACAACGGACACAACGTCAACCAGCCTGTAAGGCCAAGACAAGCCTAGCTAGAAAACAAACGAAAAACAACTAACCGGAAGTGCTGGAAGCCTTCAAAGAGGTGCAGTAACTTTCCGCTGGGGGCGGGGGGGTCCTGCGGCCTCCTCGGCGCCCGCTTCGATCGCCGTTCCGCCAGGTACTCGTTCGCTGCATCGTAGGCCATCCACCGGGCCGAGTCGAGAGCATCCCTATCCGGCTTGGGGATACCCTCCATCTGTCCAGCAAAGTACCAAGCATTGGCCACGGGTAACAAAATAAGCAACTGTGTCAAGAAACAATCAAAGAAAAAACACAACTGCCCCTTCAGACGCGTGATCGTGAGAATGAACTGAGGCTGGACCAAGCCTGCAGCTACAGGGGGGGGGGGGG